GATTACTTTAAGACATAAGATATAGGAGCAGAAGCAGGCCATTTTGCCCATCAGGTCTACTCTGCCATTCAATGAGATCATGGCTGATCTGATAATCCTCAGTTCCACTTTCCCCATAACGCTTGGTTCCCTTTCTGATTAAAAATCTGCCTGACTCAGCCTCGATTATGCTGAATGACCAGCTTCGACAGCTCTCTGTGGTAAGGAATTCCACAGACTCACTAACCTCTGACTCAAACGTGTGACCCATTTTTTTGAGATGATGTCCTCTAGTCCTGGACTCACCCACAAGGGGAAACAACCTTTCTGCATCTATCCTGTCAAGTCCCCTAAGAATCTTGCATGTTTCAATAAGATCGCCTCTTATTCTTCTAAATTCCAATATAGGCCCAACTTCATCAACCTCTCCTCATAAGATACTAATCTAGTGACATTACCATCATGCCACCAGCTCCAGTTCCAGGCTCCACACTTAAGGAAGGTTTTGGAGTGCAGGTTCAGAAGAGATAGGGTACTGAATAAATTTAAGATTTTTAATTAGTAATAGGCTGAAGGGTTATGGAGAGCGGGCAGGGAGGTGGAATTGAGGCCAAGATGAGATCAGCCATGATCATATTAAATGACAGAGCAGGCTCAAAGGCACTGAATGGCCTAGTCCTGTGTTTAGTTCTGCTTAGTTCGTACATTTTTATGTACATATATTTTAAAATTTTTTTAAAAAAATTACTGGGCTACTGGGGAAAGAGGTAAGGAGTCGGACTAATCAGAGATTTCAAAAACTGGGACCAGGAATAATGGGCTGAATGGTCTCCACATGTACTGTACAATTCTATTGTCATGAATGGATTATTTCAAATCCTCCCCTATAGCAGCCAGCTGCTCCTGAAGGACACAGAGAATGTGGCACAGAATGTTTCTGATTTGCTCCTGTTAATAGAATGTTGGATTTGGATCAGATAAACGTGACTCAGTGGATTAGACTGCAACCGTTACAGCTGTTTCCAAAAGAAACAGGAACAGGAGTAGGCCATTTGGTCCCTCAAAGCTGCAATGCCGTTCAGTACGATTATGAGGCGCGGTGCGTTCTAGAGGCGAGGCCTTGCACAGTCTGCTTGAAGGACCGTAATGCTGAGCTTTATTATATCTTTATTTTTCCAAATTATTCGTAAGATCCTGTACCTAGGCACCTTTGTACTTAACAAACACAGAAATTGCTGGAAAAGCTCAGCAGGTCTGGCAGCATCTATGGTCAGAAATCAGAGTTAACGTTTCGGGTTCGGTGACCCTTCTTCACAGTAGATGGTAGCTAGGAAAATGTCAGTTTATATGCAGGAGATAGGGTGGTAGGGGAGGGGGGGAAAGGAGGAAATGATTAATTAGTAATAGGCTGAAGGGTTATGGAGAGCGGGCAGGGAGGTGGAGTTGAGGCCAAGATGAGATCAGCCATGATCATATTAAATGACAGAGCAGACTCAAAGGGCTGAATGGCCTAGTCCTGTGTTTAGTTCTGCTTAGTTCGTACATTTTTATGTACATATATTTTAAAATTTTTAAAAAAAAATTACTGGACTACTGGTGAAAGAGGTAAGGACTAAAGAGAAAGGAGAACAGCTGGACAGACGAAGAAGTGGATAATGATTAGCCTGGGAGAACGAATGGCCATTAATGAGGACTATTAGAGGCTAACAATGGGTTGTGTGTAATAGCAGACTATGTGATAACAAGGCCTGGTGTGTGGGGATTAGGGTAAGGACATGGGGAAAGGTGCTTCAAACCTGAAAATTGTTGAACTTGATATTGAATTCAGAAGTCTGTACAGTTTCCAAGCGGAAAATGAGGTGTTGTTCTTCCAGCTTGCATTGAACTTCACTGGAACACTGCAGCAAGCCAGAGACAGAGATGTTGGCCAGTGAACAGGGTGGTGTGTCAAAGTGGCAGGCAACTGGAAGCTCAGGGTCTTTTTTGCGAGCAGAACATAGATGTTCTGCGAAACTTTCACCCAGTCTACACTTCGTTTCCCCAATGTAGAGGAGACCACATTGTGAGCAGCGAATGCAGTAGTCTACATTCTGGGAAGTGCAGGTGAAGTGTTGCTTCACCTGGAAGGTATGTTTGGGCCCTTGGATATTGGGGAGGGAAGAGGTAAATGGGCAGGTGTTGCACCTTCGCCGGTTACAGGGGAAGGTGCCGTAGGGCTGTGGGGAGGTGTTGGGGGTGAAGGAAGTGTGGACCAGGGTGTCCCGGAGGGAATGGTCCCTGCGGAAGGCGGACAAGGGAGGGGAGGGGAATATGTGTCTGGTGGTGGCATCTTGCTGGAGGTGGCGGAAATGGCGTCTGATGATCTTCTGGATGTGGATGCTGGTGGGATGGTAGGTGAGGATAAGGGGAACCCTATCATTGTTGCGGGAGGGAAGAGAAGGCGTGAGGGCGGAAGTGCGGGAGATGGGTCACATGAAGGCCCTGTCGACAACGGAGCTGGGGAATCCTCGGTTGAGGAAGAAGGTGGACATTTCGGGAGCTCCCTTGTCGAAGTTGGCCTCATCTGAACATATGCAACAGAGAAATTGTTGGAATGGACTAGTATCTTTACAGGGAGCAGGGTGCGAGAATGTATAGTCCAGGTAGCTGTGGGAGTCAGTGGGTTTATATGGATATTAGCGGCCAGTCTATCCCCAGAAATAGAAACAGAGATGTCAATGAAGGGAAGAGAGGAGTCAGAGATAGACCAGGTAAAAGTGAGGGCAGGGTGGAAATTGGAAGCGAAAATGAAGAACTTTTCCAATTCCAGACCAGAGAGGGAAACAGCACCGATGATATCATCGATATATGGGAGAAAGAGCTGTGAGTGGGGGCCGGAATAGGATTGGAACAAGGAATGTTCCACGTACCCTACGAAGAAACAGACATAACTGGGGCCCATGCGGGTACCCATGGCCACCCCTCTGACCTGAAGAAAATGAGCTACGAGTTGCATGCCACTTTAACACACCAACCAGTTCCCTGGCCAACATCTCCGTCTCAGGCCTGTTGCAGTGCTCCAGCAAAGCTCAGCGCACGCTGGAAGAACGAAACTGCATTTTCTGCTTGGGAACTGTACAGCCTTCCGGACTCAATATCAAGTTCAATAACTTTCGGGCTTGAGACACCTTCTCGCATGTCCTTACCCTAACCCCCACACACCAGGCCTTGTTATCACATGGTCTGCTATTACACGCAACCTATTGTTAGCCTCTAATAGTCCTCATTAATAGCCATTCATTCTCCCAGGCTAATCGTTATCCACCCCTTTGTCTGTCCAGCTGTTCTCCTTTCTCTTTGGGTTCTATCCCCACCTATCATTTCCTCCTTACCCCCTCCCCTACCATCCTATCTCCTGCATTTAAACTGACAGTTTCCTAGCTACCATCAGTTCTGAGGGTCACAGCACCCGAAACGTTAACTCTGATTTCTCTCCACAGATGCTGCCAGAGCTGCTGAGCTTTTCCAGCAATTTCTGATTTTGTTTCTGATTTATAGCATCCGCAGTTCTTTCGGGTTCTACTTTAGTACCTAAGATGGTGCTGTTAGTAGCAACTTTATAAATTTTTCACTCACGAGCACATGTGACAATAAATCCAATTCTAATTCGAATCCCTCATGTCCACCTTCCTGCCTTTCGCCACAACCTTCGATTCCCCGAATGATCAAGAATTTATCCAAATCAGTTTTAAATATATACACGGACAATGCCCCCACAGCTCTCTGTGGCAAGGAGTTCCAAAGATTCACAACCCTCTGAGCAAAAAAATTCCTCCTCATTTCAGTCTTGTGTTGATGACTCTTTATTCTGAGTTGATGTCCTCCGATCCTAGACTCTCCCATGTTGGGGAATATCTTGTCAGTATTTACCCATCAAGTCAGTGTAGCCATGACACTGTTACTTTTTCTTTGGACTGAATATTCCTTACAGCCAGCACAGTACAATTCCTCTAAAATACTCCACTGTCCAAGGGTGAGACATTTCCCCAAACCGTTGCTACAGTGTCACTTTGTCACCTCTTTGAGTCAGATACAAGTTCCACTCCACAAACACTTCAGCGTGATGCCAAGAAGTGACACTCCCTGTGCCAACACTGTTAGAGTGCCACAGTGCCATCAAAACAACAGCCAATGGCAGTTCTCACTGTCATCACCATTGAAGATGAGCTTCATATGTTCAAGAACATAAAACTACAGCACGGGAATGGACCCTTCGGCCCACCATGTTGGGCTGTACTGTTATTAGTTGTCTTTGGGATTTGAACTTGTGTCTCCAGGGCCAAGTCACCAGAGAATGAGACCAGTGGCGTTATCACGGGGGCCAGAGTCTCCGTTCCCTTGTCCTTGGCCTGCCAATCCAAAAGAACTATTCGTCAAGTCCTCAGCGGCCCTCCTCTAAATTCATCCCCATTTCCCCTCTAAATTCATCTCCATTTCCCCTCTAAATTCATCCCCATTTCCCCTCTAAATTCATCC